TTAAGCTGGTTGACTTTGACTAAACCGTTTTTTTTTTCGTTTTTTTTTCGTCTTTTTTTTTTTTTCGTTTTTTTTTGTTTTTTTTTCGTTTTTTCGTGTTTTCGTTTTTTCGTTTTTTTCCTACCAAAAAGATAATCATTAAGCTGGTTGCTGGAGGGGATTAGCCGGCACAGCTTCAACAGCAGGGCAGAGATCATTGTGAGACCTCAATCCTTTCTTTTTTTTTCCCTTTTTTTTCGGAAATATTCAGATTGCCACCATTTTTACACATGAAAACCCTCCCTGAATTACTGATGCCCAGCCACCAGCCAATCATCAAAGTAATGACCAAAATTAAAAAAAAAAGAGAAAGGCCGCAATCTCTTGTAAAAAATAAAATGAAAAAAATTGACCCCAAACCGATCTGCGTCACGACATGGCTCGGGGGGGTTGCCCCGGACAGGAAAGGTGGAACGACGCAGTTTTTTTCGTTTTTTTTTTTAAAAGTCTCAGGCGACGAAAGGGGGAGAGCATAGTAATCTTTTTCATAACAAGTTCTGTTGTGAATTTGGACTCTCATTTTCTATCCACTTTTTTTTTTTTTTAATAAACAAATAAAGCCTTCAGTCAACTGTCGTCCGCTCGTGTCCACTTTGATTGCAGACAAAAAAATAAAATAAAAATGAAAATTGTTTCTCACCTCACTTCTCATCTCTTGTTGCAAAAAAATTAAAAAAATATAATTTACAAAATGAAAACAAAAATAAAATAAAATGGACCGCAACCTGATCTGCGGGTAATGATGTGTTCCATGCAAAAAATTATTTCGCACGTACTCACACTATGCGAGCAAGCATGCAGACAGACATTTAGTTCACCACTGAAGCAATCTTCCAGGGTTGAAAATTCGAGATTTTCTTTTCACGTACTATGCCATGGTAATACGGCTACCTTCTTCCCCCGAATACAACGTACGGTCATTATAGCTGTATTTAGACTGAAAGATGCACCAAATACAGCTATAATGACCGTACGTTGTATTCGGGGGAAGAAGGTAGGTGTCTGTGCATGTGGTCAGCATCTGTACTGACTTCGCAGTTTTCTCATCATCTGCTAAGCACCTCTTCACTGTAGCCAACCTCGTCAACCTTTCGCTTCAACAGCTTTATTATTATTATTTTTATTATTTTTATATTTTTATTACTGTTATTATTTTTAAATACCAAAAGGGGCCCCCATTTGGCTTTCATTATCATCAATTAAATCTGCCGCCGGGAATCCTCAACCAACGACCTGGACGAAACGAAGCTGGGGTCGATACCCAGAAAAAGGGTCCCCGCAGGCATTGGGATTAAGGGTGTAGGGATATGCTTCAACGTGTTCGGGCACCTCAGGTTGAAAGTGAGTGGCCAAAAAAAAAAAAAAAAAGAAAGAATAAAAAGTGAGTGACCTTGGGCAGCGCTGGCAGTGTAGACAGAGTCAGAAGAGAGCCTTGTCTACTCGACTGCAGGCCAGCTTGGAGGATTATAAGAATGACGGACTAATGGGTCCTTTCCATCCCTTTTTTTAATTTGAATTTGAATTTTATTTTAAATTTTAAATTTTAAAATTTTTATTTTTCCTTCCCCTGTTTTCTGTACCTGCCTTTTTTGATGATCAATTGCACTTGGCTTTGCCTTCGGCCTTGGCTAGGACGTACGCAACGCAAAATTCGAGCACAAGTTGTTGACGTCTGACTAAACCGTTGACTTTGACTTCCGTACACAGGCTCCTTTGACCGAGAAAAAGCTTACAGGCACCTGGTCTGATGATCACCTCGTATTAGCTTTGGTAGGACGGAACGTGACTTCCATACAGAAGCTGTCATCCATACAGAAGCTGTCACTCAGCCTCATTACGAAGAGCATTTATAATGAAGGAAACTATAGATTAGCTGAACTCAGCTAGTCTATAATGACTGGGCCAACCGTCTTCCTTCTGAGACCTTGTTCTAGTTCTTCTTCTTCTTCTTTTGTTTGATTTTTTTTTTTTGGGTTCTTGTGTGCATGTTGATCTCTTCTCTCCCTCCCGAAAAAAAAGAAAAAAAGAAAAGAAAAGCAAAGAAAAGAGAAAAAAAAGAAAAGAAAAGAAAAGAAAAGCAAAGAAAAGCAAAGCAAAGAAAAGAAAAGAAAAAATAGTAGCAGTTTCGAAACCAGTGCGTGAACGTGTAAGAGAAGGCATCCAAAAAAAAAGAAAAGAAAAAGAGAAAGAAGAAGAAAAGGAAGGCATCACCATAAAGAGTAGGATAAGATGAGAGAAGGTAAGGATTAAGCATAAGGTAATATAATGGAAGACAAGATAAGAAAATTGAAGATAAGAATAAAGATAAGAAGAAAACGCCGTCGTTGAAGAATAAGTGATGAAGCGATCGCAATTTCTTTCTCTCTCTCTCTCTCTCTCTCTCCCCTCCCCCCCCCCCTCTCCCCCTCCATCCCTCTTTCCTTTGTCTGTTTGTCTCTCTCCCTCTCTCTCCGCTCAAAAGGGTAGCGTGAAGGGGATTAGTCCTCACAGCGTTGTATTAGTTTTGTGTTGGTGTTGGTGTTCGTGAGCATTTGGATTCGCATCTCTCTCTCGCGACGGTTCCCTTGTTTTTGGTGGGTATTAGTCCTCAGACTCCTCACACTGTTGATCGATCTGTTGATCCACGGTTATCCTGTGGACCAGTCAGCCAGTAGGGATCCCTCTCTTTCTCTCTCCCTCTCTCTCCCTCTCTCTCTATCTCTCTGTCTCACATACACACATGTGAAGAGTGTTGTAGTGGGTTTGCATTCGTCAGGCTCATGCCAACTGAGCACAGACAAAGGGCCAGTGAGACCTGACCCTAACTACTGACCATCATCCGTGCCTCTCGCCTGCTGATTCCAATCTCTCTCTCTCTCTGTGTCTCTCTCTGTCCCTTTCTCTCTGTGTCTCTCTCTGTCCCTTTCTCTCTGTGTCTCTCTCTCTGTCTCTCTGTGTTTCTCTCTGTCTCTCTCTCTGGTGCTTGCCTCCCTCCCTGTCCGTCTCTCTGTGCGCGTTTCTGAGTACGGGAAAATGTGGCTATGTTAAAATGGTTTTCTCAATTGAGCTCGTATTCTGAAGACATGTTGTTAGCCATTGCTTTTTCGTCCATCTCTTCTCTCTCTCTCTCTCTCTCTCTGTGGATCTAGGGAGGGAATAGGTTGCACAAACGTCTGTTACACTCTTTCGTCGCCACTTTTTTTTTTTTTTTTTTTTTTTTTTTGTGTGTGTGTGTGTGTGTGTGTGCGTGCGTGTGCGTGTGTGTGTGTGCGCGCGCATGTATGATCTTTGTAGGTGATAGGTTGCACAGAAGCTTCTCTTAGACTCTGTCGTTGCCATTTTAGCCTTGCGGTTTCCATGCAGATCACCTATGACAGAGCTTAACATGCCTGCGGGTAGCTGCAGACAGCTCACAAGAACACCGGATATTGCGACCGGCCACCTAAACAGGAAGATATTGTTCGATCTATGTGCATGCGGAGGTCGTTCATGGTGATGCCAGAATTGTGATCCTACGGCTGTGGTATCCAATCAAGGTGCTGCTGTCCCATAGACTGTTCCATAGTACCACATTTCCAGGGCTGCTGCCCCATAGACTGTCCCACAGTTCCACAGTTCCAGTGCTGCTGTCCCGCTGGTCCACCTTGACATGACCCAGTACCACAGTTCCAGGGCTGCTGTCCCATAGACTGTGCCACAGTTCCACAGTTCCAGGGCTGCTGTCCCATATTCCACAGTTCCAGGGCTGCTGTCCCGCTGGTCCACCTTGACATGAGCCAGTACCACAGTTCCAGAGCTGCTGTCCCATAGACTGTCCCACAGTTCCACAGTTCCAGGGCTGCTGTCCCGCTGGTCCACCTTGACATGACGGTGTGTACATGAATTGATCTGAAGAAAAAGAAAGGAAGAAAGGAGGAGGAGATTGTATGTTGACCCCAGAATTGTGATGCCAGAATTGTGATCCAACGGCTGTCGAATCTCATCAAGGGTCTGTTCGTCAGGGATGCTGTCCCACAGTTCCGCCGGGCCCGAACGATTGGGTTTGGGCCATGACCTAGTGTACATGAATGAGGTTGTATGTCGATGAGCTTGTATGGATCAATCGTCTGTACACTCTGTCATGTACATATGACGAATCTGGCCTACAATCTCGTTCGTGTACTTTAGGTACACCCTGCACATGACCGAATGTACAGACA